TTCGCCTTCTAAGGGAAAGGCAGCCCCCGGGGCGGGGCCGCGCCGCGCCGGAGCCTCCCGCCGCCTCCCCGCTTCAGGAGGCCGGAGCGAGTCCCCGGCGTGCGTTCGGGGCGGGCCGCGCGCAGGAGCTGTCCCCGCGATCGCGTGGCCCCGCGATCAGACCCTAGCTGTGGCCCCAGCCTCCTGGCCTCACACCAGGCTCCATTTCCTTATCGATCCGTGCAGGTTCTTTCTATATTCTGGAAGCGGGTTCCTGGTCCGACCCATGGCTTTGTGTTGGAGATCGATTTGTGGATTCGCATTGTATTGGAAAGATTGCAAATACTTTGTGCCACTCTGCGGTTTGCCGTTGCTCGTAATGAGCAGGAGTTATTCTCAATGAAGTCTAATTTATCAGTCTTTTCTATTACGTTTAATGCTTTTTCATTACGATGTTCTGTGTTTTCTTTTAGACGCGTAATTGTTTTAGCGTTCATGTGATGATGGATCACAAATTGATTCTTCTGAATGGTGTGGTGGAGGGGGGCAGAGCTCATGTTTTCTCTGTGTGGGTGTCCAGTTGACCTAGCTTCATTTACTGAAAAGACCACCATTCTCCCACTGGACTGGAGCAGAGTCCCCATCGTAAACCCAGCGGTGTGTATGCAAAGATCTGGTCTGGACTATTCAGTCCCGCTGGTTATTTCTCTCTCACTGAACCAACATAACACAGCTCGAAGCATAGGATTAACCAACTTGCCCTAATTCACACATACACAGCCAATAGCTGAAGAACACATGTTCCTTCCCTGTGCACATAGGATGTTAACCACAACAGGACAAATCCTGGGCCGCAGAGTTGCACCAAATTTCAAAGGGTCGAAATGATTCGAGTGCGTCTTCTCTGAGTTAAAGTAAAACTCAAAGCCCCCAAGTGCTTGGAAATTAAACATCACACTTGTAAATAATCAATAGGCCAAATAGTAAAGCACAATGGAAGTTGTAAAATATTTCGAAGTGAACGATAGTGAAAATATGACACATCAAGTGCTGTGGAATGCAGGTAGAGCAGTGCTTCGAGGAAAATTTATAGCTTTAGAAGAAAGATCGAAAAGTAATGCTGTAAGCTCCAACTCAAGAAGCTAGAAAAAGAATAGCAAATTAAAATCAAAGGTGAAAGGAAATAATAAAAACAGGAGCAAAACTTAATGAGACAGAGCAAAACTTAGAGGAAATTGACAAAGTCAAAAGTCAGTTCTTTGAATAGATGAATAGACTTAATAAGCCCCTGGAAATATTAGGTAATAAACCCCTCCCACAAAATCCAATATCAGGAATGAAAAAGGTCACCACAGGTACTACAAACATTAAAAGGATAATAAGAGGAAAATATGAACAACTTTGGCAGTAAATATGAATTTTAAATGAAATGCAATTTATCAAAACTGACAGTAGAAGAAATAGAAAATCTGGATAGTCCTATACCGATTAAATAAATTTAATTCATTATTTAAAAGTTTCCTACAAAGAAAATTCTAGGTTCAGGTGGTTACATTGAAGAATCATTCTAAACAATTGAAGAACTATCACCAGCCTTCCACGGACCTGTCCAGAGAGTGGGAAGTGAGGGAGCACTCCCCAGGTCATTTGTGAGGCAGCATAATGTCGATCCCAAACCTCTGCCTGCCTCGCGTCCCCACAGGCGGGACGGAGAATAACCATAGCCACCACCCGTGGTCGTCAGGAGGACTGCCCCACTTAAGCTATGTAAAAATTGCTTGTCGTGTACAAGTGCTCAGTAATTGTTCACTGTTGTTGCAGAAAAGCTACAGAATTCTAAAATAGGAGCGTGCATTTTAACGTTCTCTGTAATGCAGGGTCTGGGGCACCAGGACAGTGTCTGCCTCTGGTGTTTTCTGGAGAGCTGAATGTTTTATAGATGGACATCCGGAAGGTCCAGGCGGGAAGGGTCTTGCCCGAGGAGCCACTGCAGGACTGGCGTAGCCAGACCGTGAACTCGAGTCAGACCCCAGGGCTCCTGGAATGCCCCTCTGGCAGGGGAAGAATCTGTGCTGGGGACCCCTGCTCCCTCCCCACCCAATGTAGGAAGTGTGGCCTCGGGCAACTCCTGGCCTCACTCCCAGCCTCAGTTTCCCCCTATACAAAGTCAGATCTGGCTCTGCTTCCTGTCTCCTGGGGAGCACGGCCAGGCATAGAAAGACGTCCTGGGCTCCGACATGGGAATGGCGAGTCACTGAGCATAGCTGGGAGCAGCACGACCCCTTCAGTCCATGCCCAAAACCAATGGACGTCTTCCTGGACATTGCAGATGAGATCCACGCCGCGTCCAGGGGATCAGTACAGAACACTGACAGCAAGGAGGACCTGCGCATAACCCGAGTGTTTACAGGGGAAGGGGTAAACCCAGCTGTAGCACCGGACCACAGTCCTCACCCAGCCCTTTGGAAGCCTGGGCCACGCTGGAATCAGTTGGGGTCTTCCTGTCCCTTGAGGCCTGCAGGAGGCTGGCCTGACGGGCCCAGTCCCAGCCCCCCAGGGTGCTTTGCCTCCTCCAGTGTCCCTTGTCCCTGGTGTCCTGCCTCTGTAGAACACGTGATCCCTACTCTCGCATCTGAGTCCCCTGTCTCCCCAGTGCTGACGTAGTGTGGCACTTGGAGACGAGCCTTCTGGGCGCCCCCAGCCCAGACGGGCTTGAGCACAGGGAGCTGTGTCGAACCGTGTGCTAGGACCCCAGGGAGCATCCCGCGGCCTTCGGGCTAGACTCAGGAGCCCCTCCGTCTGTGGGTCCGTGTGCTTCGTGATGGGTCATCTCTCAGGCAGGCTGTCCCCGCGTGATCGCAGACTAATTTTTTTTAATGCCTGCAGCCCCCTGTCTGCACCCCACAAATTCGGCCTTTCCCAGTGGGAAAAAGCCAGTCTCTCCACATAGCTTCTGGGGTGGCCTGGGGCCAGCAGCTTCTGTCAGCCTACGGCTGGGCCAGCTGTGGTTGGAAACGGGGAAGGTGCCCCATTGTCAGGCCTGGTCAGGTCCGACCGGGGATGGGGTACACGGACCTGTCAGTGCCACCAAACGGCATGGACAAGGGTGGGCTCATGCGCCCTGTGGGGCGTGACGCTGGCTTTCACAGAGACCTTCTGGCGGTTGTGTGGGTCCCAGTTTAGGGAGCAGTGGGGTCTGCGATGCCAGATTTGGGAGGCGAGTGGCAATAAATGCCTAAGATGTGGTTCAGGGTCCCTGCCTGGTCTCCCTGTGGTAGTTCAAGGGGACAGGGACATGCAGGGTGGTGTCCCCTCCTCCAGAGCAAGCACTTGGGCTCCCCGAACACCCTGTCTACACCGTGGCAGCCACCTCCTGAATGCGGCACTGGGGGAACCGAGTGGCCAGGGTCAGCAGGGGCGTGGACGGGCGTGAACAGGCTGGACAGGCTGGACGTGTGGGCTCAGGGGGCCTGTCGCAGCCAGGCTTGCTGTGGGTGCGGGAGGATGCTGGGCGGGTTCCTGGCGGGAGTCTGGCCTCCAGGGGGTCACACAGCCTGCTTGTCCAGGGCGAGCCTGCGTGTTTCCTGGAGCGCCGTGTGCAGGCTGGCGACGCCAGCCCTTCGTCTGGGGCCCCGCGGGCTGGGTGGACCTTCGCCATGGCCTCTTCATGCTCCTTTCAGAGTCTGTCCTCAGAGGGACTTCTGCCTCCTCTGCTGCCAGCACCCGGTCCAGCCACCACCCCTCTCTTCTGCACGGCGCCCTGTCCGCCCCCTCCAGCCCACTCCTTGCGAAGGGACAGGGTGTCCTTTCAAAACCAAGCAGATACGTCAGTATCCGGCCCCCAGCACCCGGTCTCCCCCTCCCGGTGAAGCTGGACCCCCACCCAGTGGCCTGCTCTCCTTCCCCTCCCCCTTCCTTGCTCCCCGGGCTCCGGCCACCACCTCCCTGCAGATCGTCAAAGTGGCCGAGTGCCTCGGGGACTCTGCACTTGCTGTTCTGGCTTTCAGAGAACTTCCAGCTCCGCTCCCGGTCACTTCCCCAGAGGGGCCCTTCCTGCCCCTGCCACTCCCGCCA